GGAGGGTGGTCGAGGGCGGCCCGAGGAGGTGGCATTTCAGGAAGGAGCTGAAATAAGGAGAGAGCCATGTGAGTATCTGGAAGGAGGCTTCCAGGTAGAGGTGATGGCCAGTGCAAAGGTCCTGGGGCAGGACCCAGCCTGGCCTATTGGGGCACAGCAAGGAGGGCTGTGTGGCTGGGGCAGTGAGTAAGGGGAAGTGGGACAGGAGATACCATAGATTGGGAGGTCCTGCTGGGTGGCAGAGAATGCGCGGGCTTGTCCAGCGAGGATGGGGGTGCCTGGAGGGCGGTGGGCATTGGAGGTGCAGGGCTCGACAGGGCGCTCACAGCCGCACCCTGGTGGCTGCTTTGAGAAGGAGAGACGGGGCTGGGAGGGGGTACAGGTCGCGGAAGCGGAGCTGGGGGCCAGGTAGGAGGAGGTAGGTGGGAGGTGGTGGGGTCTTGCCAAAGTATGAGCAGGAAAAGGGCAAAGTTCTGGACACACGTGAAGGCAGAGGCCACAGGGTGGTGGACACTGGACCTGCCGTGAGGGACAGAGGCTGGGCAGGGAGGGGCTGTCTAGGGGAAGATTCCCAGGTGTGGCCGGAGCCATCAGCTGAGACAGAGGGGAGCAGGGAGGTGCCAGCGGGGTGGGGGTGTCAGTTACCTGCCAGTCCCACCAGTGGGGGCTCCCGCCGTTTTCCATTTGTCGTTTGTTTGGGACCTCAGTAGCTGATTCTAAAATTTATACTGAAGCACTAACGGGTCATGAGTAGCCCAGACCTTGCCTCCAAGAAGTGGCAAGTGAGAGAATGTTCCAGAAGGAAATCTGAACCTATGACAAAGTTAGAGTAACTAACGTTAGTTACTCTAATGGGTGCAGGGGTGCGCGGGGCATTTAGGAAAGGGGTCTGGAGGCAGTGCAAGAGTGGGGTTCCCAGGAAGACGGCGTGAGGCAGGGTACCCTGGAGCGAATTGCTCCCTGCCTGGGTCTCCTCCTCTGTGCGGGCACTGTGTGTGGACAGTCGGAGCCTCCCCGGGTGGGAGGGGCATGTCACCGCTGGGCTGGGCCTCCCCCACGGCGCCCCCCGCCCCCCGCCCCCCGCGGGCATATGCCCTCTGCAGGCACCAGACACGTGGGTGCAGGGGTGCGCAGGGCGAGCACGCCGGCCAAGTGGCTCCCCCCAGCTGGCCACGGGGGCTGGTTCCCGGTGGCCAGGTGCAGGGGCAGGTGGTGGGGCCACTTCCGGGCAGGTGGCGCCCGGCGCTGGCAGAAGGCCCTTGAGTTTCATGGAGAGAAGCAGATGGGCTTAAGGGGACGGGGGAGCACTGAGGCCTGGGGGAGCCCTGACTCGGCGCAGGGGCTGTCCCCGAAGCCCGGGTTCCACTCGGTGCCAAGCTTCCGTTGGCAAATGGCGTGTGTCTTGGTGCCTCAGTTTCCCAGTCTGTCTCAGAACCATATTCACCACACCCACCTCTCGGGTGAGCTGTGCAGATAAGCAAGTTTTTTATTTTTAAGATTTATTTAATTATGCATACAAGAACTGGGGTACAGGCCGGAGGTGGGGGGGTGAGAGGACTCCCCAGAGACAGAGTGGGGAGCAGAGCAGGCGGATCCATCGAAACACTCTGCTGAGGGGAGCAGCAGGAGACAGGAGGCGTCTACCCCGCCCTGGGGTCACTCCCTGGCCGGGGATCGAACTCGTGCTGTGCTGCAGGGGTTTTGGCTGGTGTCATAGTCCTGAGCTTAACCCTTGCGCCACAGGGAGGCCCGTAAATAAGTTAATTTAAGTTAATTTAAGTACTTGCCACAATGCTGGTGTTTGCTGTTTTTATCATTTATGGGGCTCCTCCTGCATGCCAGGCCCTGCGGGGGGCACAAGGAGGTGGAGACAGGCCCAGCCCTGTCCTCTCAGGGCGCCTAGTCCAGTGGGCAGACAGAGGTAAGTGAGGGGCGCTTGTGAGGGCACAGGCACTCGGGCGGCGCCGCCAAGACTGGGGACCCATCTGGGAGGCCTCTGGCGGACGTGTCCGGAACCCGAGAGGGGTTCACCGGGCTACCAGGGGCCAAAGGCGGGTGTTGCAGGCGGAGGGAACATCAGGGAAGAGTGTAGAGGAGGTGACAGGCTGGAGGGGAGGAGCTGGAGCTTCATTCGAGGGCGCTGGAGGGTTTGAGTAGAGCAGGCGATGTCTGGAGACGCCAGAGGGGTGCTGTCACCACTGGGGTGCTCCTAGCATCGAGTGGGAGCCAGGGATGCAGCTCAACACCCACAGTGCTCAGAACACTCCCCACCTCCAAAGAGACCCTAGTGCACAGCGAGGGAGGAACAGGTGAGATTTGAATTCTGGAAAGATCTCTGCTGCCTCGAGGAGGAGAAGGGGGGCGGGGGGGCAGAACTGGGGGCACCTGGGTAGGTGGCGGCGCTCAGAGTAGAGGGCGAGTGAAGAAGGGGGCGGCTCGGCCTCAGACCTCAGCTCGGGGTGAGGCACCCCCGTGGAGGGGCTGGGAGGAGCCGCTGCTCTGAGGCCAAGAAGGAGCCCCCCAGCGTGGGGCTGCGGGGCCTCTGTGGGCCGAGGGAGGGCGAACACCCTCGCAGGGGCAGAGCTGGGGGAATGCAAAGTTAGGAGGACCAGGAGGGGGACGGAGGCAGCCGGTTCCCTCCCCACCTGGGGCCTCCGTCTGTGCATCTGTGGGCGGCGGTACAGTTTCTGGGAGTCACCTGCTGAGACAGGCTACAGGCTGGTGACTGTGCAGGAACATCACGGTGGCCAGCACAGAGGCATCTGTGGAAAACCTGCCGCTTGGAGCCCTGGGTTGGGCTGTCACATCCTCTCTGGTGGGGCCACAGTGCCTCAGTTTCCCCATCTGCTAATGGGTGGCATGTTGCACCAATTCTGCTAGAGCCAGTGGGGGTCCGTGGCGTCCACCCTGGTGCTCCACAGAACTAAGTGTGGCCACGCCCATTTTACAGAGGAGGAAACTGAGGCCCAGGACTGGGAGGGACCTGCCCGGGGCCACGTGGCAGGTAAATGGCAGAGCTGGGGCTGTGCCCTTGCAGGCTGGCAGCCCTGGGTGCAGCATGATCAGGGAGGGGCAGCTGTTGTTTTCAAGTTTCTTATTCTTAGATATTTCTTGAACGTTAGTCTGAAAAACGGGGCTAAGGAGCCCAGGCCACCGTCTGGCACCCCTGAGGACGGTTGTTACCAAAAGTCAAAAAGTGCCAGGTGTTGCTGGGAGGTGGAGACGCCTGGGCCCCGGGGGTGCTGCTGCGGGCGGCCTGGGGCCACATGACCCAGCAGCCCTGCTAGACGGGCACACACGCGGTCTCCGGGGCCCCGTGTGATGTGGGGGGCGTGGGGGCGGCCGCCCGGGCTGGCGCCAAAGTCGCGGCACTCAGACAGCAAAAAGGTGGACGCCAGCGAAGGCCCCGGCAGATGCCCCGTGACAGGGCTGTGGCATCCCGCTCGAAAAGGAAGGAAATTCAGGAAAAACAGGGAACAATGTGGACGGGCCTAAGGACACGGTGCTCTCTGCAACGAGCAGACACGGGACGCCCAGGAGGGCCCCAGGGGATCACCCCATAGAAAAGGTGGTGCCAGGGCTGGGGGAGGGGAGGCCGCTGCGGGTTTGCCAGAGACAGGGGTCCAGGAGGAGAGAGAGTTCTGGAGCTGGAGGGTGGGGCGGCGGCAGCCCGGAGGTGCTGGATGCGCTGGGCTGGCCGGGCAATTAAACGTGGTGAAGATGGTAAATGTTCTGCCACATACATTGTACCACAATGTAAAAAATGTTCAAAGAAAAGAAGGCACAGAGCAGACAGCACCCAACAGACTAGACTCCTGGGCAGGCTGAGCGCAGGGAAAGAAGCTTGACGGGCCAGCCGCAGGAGGGTGCGGTCAGGTATCCGGGCGGCAGTGAAGTTGGGGGTCTTGCAGGCCAAGGGGAGCAGGGTCTGGGGGGTTGGTGGAGGCCGCTGGGGCTATGGAGCAGGGGAGGAGCCAGGGAAGGAAACCCTTAAGGAAACTGGGCCTTGACCCCACACACATAGGATCCCGGCATCCGCTGAGTCACAAATCCTGGAAGCTCGGGTCATGGAGCGGAAGCCTCTGGGCCACGCAAGACCTTCCTGTTTTCTGGTCCTGAAGCCTCAGAGCACTCCAGGGCCAAAGTTCCCGCATCACCTTCACTTCCAGGGCCTAGAACCCCAGAGCTGGGAGGCCACGGCAGGGACTGGCCATGTCCCTGCTGCTCAGGCAGGGGAACTGAGGCACGGGGATTGCCCAAAAAAACGAGGCCCCCTGGTTTCTTATTCAGGGCCTCCAGGACATGGACTGTACCCCTTCTGGAAGGGGCGTGCAGGGCTGGTGCCAGAGGGTGAGCTGTGTCATGTTCCCACCAACCAGCTCACTGGGAGACTCAGCTCCACACCTCTGGAAGGTTCTCACATTATCTTGTCCCCCCAAAGGGGGACACAGACCCCCTGGAGCGGGGTGCCTGTCACAGGGGTCTCCCTGCGGAGGGTAGAAAGGCTGGGCTGGGGAAGGAAGTCAGATTTACTGGGACAGCTGGGGCCCCTGGCCAGCTAGAATATCCAGCAATTCTAAAATACTGCAGTTCCCAGGCTGTGATTTATGAAATTCCAAGAGCCTTCGGATTTTTTTTGAGTCTTTAATTTTAAGATTTTTGCTTTAATTCTAAGAATTTGTAACTATACTTTTGAGATTGAATTTTAAAATGTTTTTGAGGTGCTGTATCTATTAATATTCTCATTATTATTAATTTTTGTTAGAATTCGTTTCCTGAGATTTCACTAACGTGTCAGAAAGTTGTACTGATAATTAAATAAGTGCTGCTATTATTGTCGTTATCGCCATGATTATTGTAATTTTTTATTATTATCCCAAAGGGGAATTTTCTGGGAATTGGTCTAGATTGCCGCGGCTCGCCTGTCCTCTACCGGCGAGTGGCGGTACTGCAGCCTCCCTGCTCACCTCCTGGCACCTGGGCACCTCGTTTTCAGGTGTCACCTGCCTTCGCCCCAACCTCGCCATGCGGACCCCGAGAGCGCCCCTTCCCCGCCTGGCTCTACTGCGCCTGCTGCTGCTACTGGGGGGCGCCCATGGTCTCTTCCCTGAGGAGCTACCACCGCTCAGTGTGGCCCCCAAGGACTGTAAGTGGGGGTCCCCGGGGGGTGGGGGTGGGGCTGGCCAGGGAGGGCCTGGTGCCCCAGCTGGGTCTGCTGCTTTCCTCCCCCCAGGGCCTGTGCTCACCCCCACCCTGGATCACACCCTTCCCTCCCCCTCCTCTAGACCTGAGCCACTATCCCGTGTTCGTGGGGAGCGGAGCAGGACGCCTGGCCCCTGCAGAGGGCCCCGATGACCTCAACATCCAGCGGGTCCTGAGGGTCAACAGGACACTGTTCATCGGGGACAGGTACGCGGGATTGCGCAGGCTGTGCTGGGTAAGGAGCAGGAATGTTCAGAACGTTAGCTCATGGCGCCGGGTGTCGCAGGTTGGGACTTTTGAGGGTTCTGAAAGTGGGGTGTGGTAGGAGCGTAGAGCCCGCTGTGTGGGTGCGTTGGCAGGTGGGGACAGCTGTTTGGTCAAACCCAGTGGGCGTCTACAGAGGATGCCCAAGCGGCACCCTGGGGCTTCTCTCAGGAGGTGGCGTTTGAGTTGAGGCCCGAATGATGAGGAGCCAGCCGTGGGGAACCTGGGGGAGGCAGACAGGGCCTAGTGGGTATGGAGAGGTCTTGAGCTTTTACCCCCACCCGAGTGAGAGCCCCAGAGGGATGGGGGCAAAGGAGGGCTCTGACTTGAGTCCTTTGATCACCGGCCCCCTCTGGTGGTTGCTGAAAGGACAGGCTGTGGGGCTGAGGGTGGAGCCGGAGGGGATGGAGGAGAGGACCTGGTTCAAGTGGGTCATAAAGGAGGCTAGACGTGGAAGACGTGGAACAGTGACACGTGGGTGGTTCTTATAGGCATCAAAGGCAGAGTTGATAGCATGACTGATGTGGGGGGACAGGGAGTTGGGAAGGCTTCCAGGTGTTGGCCTGTTCCCATGGAAGGACGAAGCTGCCCCTGCTGAGAGGCAGGTGGGGAAGGGCTGGGGCAGCTCGGCCCTGCGGAGTATGAGCCGCCCGAGTCTCCCGCGTGGAGACACAGAAGGCAGCCGGACCTGGAGTCTGGGACTTGGGGAGGCCCCGACTGGAAACGGGACTGCAGGCAGAGGTGGTCAGGGTGGATGTGGGGTTAGATGCCCTAGAAGGGATGCGAGTGGCGGAGAAGAGGCCAAGGAGGCCCCGAGAAGGGGAGGGAAGCCAAGCAACTCGGAGGGGGGATCCCGAGGAGTTCCCGGGAGGAAAGGGGACCAGTTGGGTCAGGCCCTGACGGGAAGGGGGAGGCCAGGGAAGTGGCCTCTGGCCTTGACCAGGTGAAGGATCCAATGCCCTTGACCAGGGCAGTTTCTGCAGTATGATAGGGAGGAGATAGGTCTTGGGGAGACCGGGAGGAGCTGTAAAGGCGCTGGGCGGTCACAGCAGGCCCTGGGGCCGTGGGCGTGTGGCACGGGGTGGAGTTGGGGTGTGTGGCTGGACTAGCAGCTGCAGGCCATTCCAGGTGTGAGGAAGCAGGTGAGGGAGGGAGCTCAGTGTGGTGGGGACTCCAGGGCGGCGGCGGTCTGCTGTTGGCTGTTGGACACCACTCTCCTGCCTGGAGGACGAAGGGTGGCGGGGTGGAGGCCCCCCAGTCTCACTAACTGCATCCCTCCCCCAGGGACAACCTGTACCGGGTGGAGCTGGAGCCCCCCACGTCTTCAGAGCTGCGTTACCAGCGGGTGAGCAGGGGTGCAGGTGGGCGGGGAGGGCCAAGGCTCAAGGGGACCTAACTCGGTGTTAGGGCGCAAGGTGGGTCTGCTCTGCGGGCTGGAGGTTTCTGGGTCTGTCGGGACCCTGCTTCCCTCACCAGCTCCCTCTGTCCTCAGAAACTCACCTGGCGCTCCAACCCCAGCGACATCAACGTGTGCAGGATGAAAGGCAAGCAGGAGGTGAGCGGCCCCGCACCCAGCCCTGGCCTTGGCTAGTCCCACCCTAGCGACCACTGAGAAGGCGTGTTTCCCGCCCCTAGTCGTGGCCACGCCTCCAGCCCGCTCCTATTTTGGCCTCTGCCAGGGCCTGACCTCGAACAGAGGCCCCAGCCCTGGCCACGCCCACACTCTGGCCCCTCCCCCAAGACCGCCTACCTGCCCTGGCTCCGCCTTCCACCCGCACCGCGCCCTATCACAGCCCACCGACATGGCCACGCCCCGCGTGTGACCACGCCCCTTCTCCCTGGCCCACCTAGGGCGAGTGTCGGAACTTCGTAAAGGTGCTCTTACTTCGAGATGAATCCACGCTGTTCGTGTGTGGTTCCAACGCCTTCAACCCTGTGTGCGCCAACTACAGTGTGAGTTTCCGCCCGCCAGCAGCCCTGCCTGGCCCAGGCCAGCCTCTGGCCTTTGCCCTGGCCCCCCCCTTCCCTAAGGTCCCCCCAGAACGCTGTGTTTTCCAGGAAGCCTGGCTGGGCATGCCCGCCCTGCCTCCTATCCCAGGCCCAAGAGGACACTGCAGAGGGGCCAGGGAAGCTGGAATTACATAAGCTGTGACCCAGTTATAACTAGGATTGACTCTTAGACCCATTCACAGATCAGGAAACCAAGCCCCACAGCTTCCCAGAAGAGGAAGGGTTCCCCTGGGAGATGGGGTGTGGGGGAGCCAGGGGTACCAGGCGTGAGCAGGACCTCTGTTACTAGACTCTGTCTCCCCTGCAGATAGACACGCTGCAGCCCCTCGGGGAGAACATCAGTGGCATGGCCCGCTGCCCGTACGACCCCAAACATGCAAATGTCGCCCTCTTCTCTGGTGAGTGTCCCCCAAAGCTGACCATCTGCTGGGGCCCCAACCCTGAGCAACGCATCGCATTTTCCGCTCTTGAGTTGGGGTCATTTTGAAAACAGCAGGGAGATCATGCAGCTGTGAAACAGGCAGTCTCTCACCCCAGGATCTGGCTTCCGTGGGGCTGCGGCTCGGCCTGGGCTGGGGGTTCAGGCCGGGCCAGCACTCAGCCGAGAGACAGGAACTGACTCAGGCTCAGAGCTGCCTTGGAAAGTGGAGTCCTGCCCCAGCTGGCCTTTAGCCGTCACTGCCTAACCTCTCACCTGCCTCCCCTCACGGACCCCAGATGGGATGCTCTTCACGGCCACTGTTACTGACTTCCTAGCCATCGATGCAGTCATCTACCGCAGCCTCGGAGACCGGCCCACCCTGCGCACCGTGAAACATGACTCCAAGTGGTTCAAAGGTACGGTGGGCTGGCAGGGCTGGCATTCATCGCATCCCCCCGCCAGAAGGAGTCCCGGGCAGGCAGGAGGTCCATCCCACCAGGAAGCCCATTGCCCTCTTTGATAATGCAGCTAGAGGAAAGACATAAATTGGATCTAATGTAGAACCTGCGGGAGATGGGTGGCTTGGAAATTTGAAGTGGGGCCTCCCTGGTGGCCCATCACGCACATTAGGACGCAGCGCTGCAAGCCGGCCGTAGCTGCTCCAGTGTGAGTTCGATCCCCGCCCTGGAGGTGACCGCCTGGTGCGGCAGACCTCTCCTGACCCGCCCGCTGCTCCCCTCAGCAGTGGACTTCGTCTATCTGCCTGTTCTGCTCCCCACTGTATCTCTGGTGAAGCCTCTCACCGCCCCTGCCCTTCTGGCCTGCACCCCAGTTCTGTCTGCATGAATAAACAAATCTTAAAAAAAAGAAATCCGAAGTGGGGTATAGCAGGGACTCAGCCTTTCAACGAGGATAGTGGGTGTTGCTGTATTTGAGTTGATTTAGGCTTTTGACACTTCTGCCTCCACCAAAAATTTAAAAACTCAACAACATTGAGTGTGTTTTATTTTGTCTGGTCAATCAATCAGTATACCACCCCCCCCATTAAAAAGCCACCCAGACTGTGTTCCAGCCCCACGTCAGGGGCTGGGTTCTGACCCCCCCCCCCTCCTACAGAACCCTACTTTATCCACGCGGTAGAATGGGGCAGCCACGTCTACTTCTTCTTCCGGGAGCTCGCCATGGAGTTTAACTACCTGGAGAAGGTAAGGGCCTGTCCCCTGCCCTACCCCAGAGCCCTGTGGGGCCTGTCCCCTGCCCTACCCCAGAGCCCTGTGGGGCCTGTCCCCTGCCCTACCTCAGAGCCCTGTGGGGCCTGTCCCCTGCCCTACCCCAGAGCCCTATGGGGCCTGTCCCCTGCCCTACCCCAGAACCCTGTGCAGTGAGCATGAAGCGGAAAGGCCCTGATTGTGGCTAGTGGCTGGCAGAGGTGAACCCATGAACGCGCAAGGCCCTCCCCTTCAGCCAGGCCCGGGCCTAAGGCTGGAAGAATCCCACAGGCCTAAGCTCAACTCTACCCCTGGGTCCAGTGCTGTGCTGCTGCCGTCTGCCCGTCCAGCCACCATCCAGTTGTCTGTCCTTCATCTGCTGTCCACTCCCCTGCCCGCTCACTGCCCTGACAGCCGCGCTCTCACCCCTTCCTGCTCGTCAGCCATCCAGGCTTCTGTCGACTCCTTTATCAGTCTCCCCAGCTCCGCCACCCACTTGCCACCCAGCCGCTCCGCCCATCCTTCCACTCGCCCGTCCCCAGCCCTTCCAGCACCTGGATGTCTGTCCACCATCTCCCACTCATGCACTTGTTAGCTCATTTCAGTCACTCATTGCCTAACCATTCACTGACCAGCTCACCCATCTGCCATGCACTTCCCCGTCTACCTGCCCCCCTCTGATCATAGAATCACCTCCCTTTCGTAAGTTGTTCATCTGTCCCGGTCAGCCGTTTATCCATGCGCAGGTCCACTAACCACTACTCAGCCGTCTCCTTCTGCCTGTCTACTCAGCCTCCACGCAGCTTTACCTTCATTCATTTATTCACCCATCCGCCATCCCTCCGCCCGTCCAGCTACGGGTGCACTTATCCAGCACGTATTCATTCCTCTGTCCACCCACCTATCATTCATTCATCCTCCCTTCAGTTCAAGGTGTTGTGACAGCCAAGTACACAGAGAGCCATTTACCTCTAGAGTGACCGTGACTGTGACGGTCTCCTTGCTGCAGGCACCATATTGTCCACATTTCTGCTGGGGAATCCGGTGCCCAGGGAGGCGTGGCGTGGTGGGAGTGAGCCAGAACCAGTCTACATACTGGCCTGCGAGGCAGGCCTTCCTGGGCCCCGGGGCCAGCGCCCACCTGCCTGCTGTCGTGCGCAGGTGGTGGTGTCCCGCGTGGCCCGGGTGTGCAAGAATGACGTGGGCGGCTCCCCTCGCGTGCTGGAGAAACAGTGGACCTCCTTCCTGAAGGCGAGGCTCAACTGCTCTGTGCCCGGGGACTCCCACTTCTACTTCAACGTGCTGCAGGCCGTCACGGGCGTGGTCAGCCTGGGGGGGCGGCCTGTGGTCCTTGCTGTCTTCTCTACCCCCAGCAACAGGTAAGCAGGCACTGACGGGAGCAAATTGCAAGCATTGGGTGGCCGTGGTTGGAGAGGCCTCGCATCCACTTATCACCTATTTCTGGAAACTGACCCTAAGATGGCCTCAGATGTAGGACAGGGTGGGACATAAGCAGACAGTGGCCCTCTAAAGTCCTTTGGTCAGAACTGGCAGATGGGGAAATAGCCACGGCTCTGCCTGGAGGTCAGAGAAGGCTTCCCGGGTGGGGGACATTGCAACGAGGCTTTGATGCGTGTGAAGGCGCACAGGAGAGTGGTCCAGTTTCAGAAACAGCGTGTGCAGAGGCCCTGAGGCTACGGCGAGCTTGATACATTTAGACAATGAGGAGACTCATGGCTAGAGTGGAGAGAGTGGGGAGAGAGCGGAAGTGAGGGCAGAGAGGGGCCAGGCGACGAGGCCGAGCCCGGACTTTATCCTGAGACTTCTAGGGAGCCATGGGAGCTTGAGAAGCAAGAGGGGACAGGTCAGATTTGCAGCTCTGTCGAAGTCCCCAGGGAACGGGTTGAAAGAGGGCGAGAGTGACACCTAGGTGGCCCAGTGTCCCGGCAAGTGACAGTGGGCCCCTGGGCCTACAGGGTGGCCCGGAGGAGCTGGACTGCGGCCCCGAGAGAGCTGGCGTGACAGAATGGGGGGGCAGCAGCTCCGGCTCGGGGGTCTGAACATCCTGCGGCTGTTGCTGGGGGACACCCAGCCAGGCTCACCCTTCCCTGTCATCTGCCGCCCCCCGCCCCCAGCATCCCTGGCTCGGCCGTCTGCGCCTTTGACATGACACAGGTGGCTGCTGTGTTCGAAGGCCGTTTCCGTGAGCAGAAGTCCCCGGAGTCCATCTGGACGCCCGTGCCAGAGGATCAGGTTCCGCGGCCCCGGTGAGAGCCTCCCGTCCGGAAGTGGGTGCTCACCCTCGGGCGGGGCCTCGGGGACCCCAGGTGGCTACTTAGCCATCACGGAGCTGAGCTGGACCCAAGGCAGTTGGGGAAACTGAGGCCCTTTGGGCAGGGCAGTGGATCCCTGGAGAAGCAGGAGCCCCGAGGCTGCCTGACCGCCCGCCCCGCCCCCACCAGGCCGGGTTGCTGTGCGGCGCCTGGCATGCCGTACAATACCTCCAGCGCCTTCCCCGACGAGATCCTCAACTTCGTCAAGACCCACCCCCTGATGGACGAGGCGGTGCCGTCGCTGGGCCACGCGCCCTGGATCGTGCGGACCTTGATGCGGTGGGTGCCCGCGGGTGGTGGGCCGGGACGCTGCGCAGACGCTCAGAACAACCCAGGGCTTCCCAAAGAGACGGAAACTGGGAGAGACACCCAGCGGGAGAAAGATGCAGAGCAGAGAGGGCCGTGCAGAGAGAGAGGGAGGCAGAGCGGGGAGGGGAAAGAGAAGTGAGGTGGACACCCAGAGGAGCAGAACGGGGCTGACTCAGCTGGGGCGGAGGGAGAGACAGGCGCGGGCCTGGCGGGGGTCCGTTGAGGCTCTGTCTCTCTCCGTGAGTGCACCATGCCGGCATGGATGGTGCCTCTGCGTGGTCTGGGTGACTCTGGGGGCTCCGGGGCCAGCCTGACCCTCACCCCGTCCCGGCCTAGGCACCAGCTGACGAGAGTGGCTGTGGACGCGGGCGCCGGCCCCTGGGGCAACCAGACAGTGGTGTTCCTGGGGTCGGAGGCAGGCACCGTCCTCAAGTTTCTCGTCTGGCCCAATGCCAGCGCCCTGGGCACTGGGGGACCCAGCGTCTTCCTGGAGGAGTTCGAGACCTACCGGCCAGACAGGTGGGGCCAGGCAGGGGCCAGGGGCGGGGCAGGCGGGCAGGGAGGTGGAATGTCCCCTTTGAGTCTCACCAGCCTGCTCACCGCCAGGTGTGGACGGCCTAGCGACGATGAGACAGGGCAGAGGCTGCTGAGCCTGGAGCTGGACACGGCCTCAGGTGGCCTTCTGGCGGCCTTTCCCCGCTGCGTGGTGCGCGTGCCAGTGGCCCGCTGCCAGCAGTACTCGGGGTGCATGAAGTAAGTGCTCCCCACCCACTCCGAGCCCAGCTGCGGGGGGCAAGAAAAGGGGTGGAGGGGAGATGAACAGGGAAAGAAAGCCAAATTGAAGTCCAGGGCCCAGCGTCATCCTGACTTATTGAATAATGAGCTGGGCAGAGGACATATCATGTGCAAAGGTCCTGGGGCAGGATCGTGCCTGGCGTGCTGGGGGAACAGCGAGGAGGCCCATATAGCTGGAGCGGGGCAGGGGGAGTTAGAGGAGAGGTGTGGACAGGGAGGGGACAGGGCAGGTCATGCAGCACTTGCGGCTGTGGGGAGGACTTGGGCGGGAACCCTTATAGGACTGTGCAGGGCAAGGCAGGGTCTGTGTGCCGTTAAGAGCAGGGGGGAGACTAGAAGGTAGCAGTTTCCCGGCCTCCAAAATGGGTGGGAAACAGAGCAGAAGCAGATGAAATGTTGGCACCTCTGGGGTCAGTGTGAGACCCCTTGCCCGCGGCTGCCGTCAAAGCGCTGATGATCCCACGCAAGGCTGCCCGGTCCCATCCGGCTCTGACTTTGGGTGAAAGTGAACTCTCCAGCGGGCTGCTTCCTTTCCTGTAAAGGGGGTGGCGGGGGAAGCGGTGAGCAGCCCCACTACAAAGACTTGTGAGGACTCAGGGGTTGACTGCTGGGCACTGTGGGCGACTGATTAACCCACATGTCGGGCCCCGTCTACCTTAGGAACTGTATTGGCAGCCAGGACCCCTACTGCGGGTGGACCCCCGACGGCTCCTGCATCTTCCTCAGCCCTGGCACCAGGTACTGGGAGAGGAAGGTTGGGGGAGGGGTGACCCAGGGGGTGGGAGCCCCACCCCCAGCTCTGTAAGAGGGTCTCTACGCATTGCCTCTCTTCCCTGTCAGAGCCTCCTTTGAACAGGATGTGTCCGGGGCCAGCACCTCAGGCTTAGGGGACTGCACAGGTAAGACAGGGCAGGGAAGGGGCCTGGAGGCCCCATGCTGGACCTCCAGGCCTCTCATGACCTTTGCCGACCTTGCCCAGGGCGGGGGGGGGGGGTTGGCTTCCACCCAAGCTTTGGAAGGGCAGGCAGGGGTTCCATTTCTATATAGAAGGACAGACAGACCCCAGGGGACAGAGAGACCAGAGACGATGGGTGGGCTCTGAGAGGACAGACAGGCGGACCGATGGGCATTGAAAGGGAAATACCAGCTGGACAGAGAAGACCGCAGACCCAGGGGCAGAGAGAACTGCCAGGCAGGCAGTGAAGGGGGAGAGAGAACGAGAGACAGACAAGCTGAGAGGATAGACCGATGCCAAGAGGTGAAGCCCCAAGGTGACAGACTCACAGGGCAGACGCAGGCTTTAAGGGGTGGAGGCCGGAGACAGGGCCTGAAAGGAAGCGCACGCGTGAGACAGACCTCAGCAGGGCCCCGGGGCGCGGGTGGGACGCCCCTGCCGGCCCTCAGCGCGCCTGCCCCCAGGACTCCTGCGGGCCAGCCTGTCCGAGGAGCGTGCCGGGCTGGTGTCTGTGAACCTGCTGGTGACGTCGTCGGTGGCGGCCTTCGTGGTGGGCGCCGTGGTGTCCGGCTTCAGCGTGGGCTGGTACGTGGGACTCCGAGAGCGACGTGAGCTGGCCCGCCGCAAGGACAAGGAGGCCATCCTGGCCCACGGGGGCGGCGAGTCTGTGCTGAGCGTGAGCCGGCTGGGCGAGCGCCGGGCAGGGGGCCCCG